TAAACAATAAAGGGGAAATTCCTCTTCTGGGCACATGCCAGTAGAAGCCAAGATGGCACAGAGGGAGGTCCTTCTACCCTGCGGCAAGTGCAGTAGGAGCCTAGACGGCAACCATAAAGGGAAAAGGATTGGATTGGATAAGGGACAGAGAACTCCTGAAAATCTAGGAAATGGATTGTTTTGGGGGAGGGCCCAGCACAAGCCCACAAAGGATTGGGAAAAAGATTGGTCACTTTGAAAGCCTGAGGAAATACAATCAAAGCTTCACAAAGCCCTCTCTCAGTTAACACACATGTGCTCACCTGTCTGTTTGTGCATTCTCTGTAGCAACCATGTGGGCCTAGAAGCCGTGGGCGTCCAAGCGTGGGCTCCAAGGGGGAACTGGGGTGCAGCAATGCAGCACTGGCCTGGAGTGCGGCTGGAACAGAGACTAGGCTAGCCAGGTGGGGGTAGAGACTGAACTGGACTAACCTGTGGCATGGACTGAACTAACCGTGCAGAATTTCTGGACCCTGGCCTTTCTACTGGGCTTGATGAAGACAAGGCTGGACTTCTTCCACAGCAGAAGAGATGAACCACCTGATGGTGTATGAGACACGGACTCGGGGAACCTGGGGACAGTCTTTTTTTTTTTGGTCCAGCGTCAGTAAATCTTACCACTATACCTCATCCTCCTATGCATGGTTCCCAAAATGCCTTTCTCATGACACTTCAAGAACCCCATTTCCACTGGCAACACTTGGGCTAGAATCACCTTTCATAGCACTGTCTCCATCATCACATGCATCATGTCTGTGGTAGGCAGGATAATGGCCCCCTTCCCCAAAGATGTCTGCATCCTAATCCCCAGAACCTGTGAAGATATCATGTTGCATCACAAGGGAGAACTAAGATTGTGGATGGAATTAAGGTTGCTGACCTGAGGACCTTAAAATAGGGAGACTATCGCAGATTGTCTGGGTGCACCCCATGTAATCACAAGTGTCCTTAAATGTGGAAGAGGGAGGCAGAAGAGCTACTGTCAGATGCTGTAATGTGAAAAAGACTTAGCTGATTGTGGTTGATGCCAATTCAATGTCAAAAGAATTCCCCAATTTAGGATGTGGTAAAAAAAGGAAACTATCCAGTGCAAAATAGCTCAACTGTAATACAGCACAGCTATAAAAACAGTAGGCTGTGGGTCAGCCTTAAGGCCAGGCCCCTCTCCAGCTAGACAGCTGTGCTCTGCTCCATGCAGGTAGCTCTGGCATTTCACCTCAGCCAAGGAGACACTCTCTTTCCAGGAAAAGGGCGTTCTCATAGTTAGAGGGAAACTGGCCTATATAGACATAAATCCCCACCCCAGTCCCTGATTGGCCCATCCTCATGCAAAGGAAGGCTCCAAATCATCTCATTTTGATTGGTCCAAAAGGCACTGTCCTGATTGGTCAGAATAGGGCTGCTCTGATTGGTCAGAGTAATGTTTTGATTGGGTGGGGAAAGCCTCAGTCCTATTGGTTAAAATAAAATTCCAGGAACTCCTTCATAAGGGCTGGGTCAGGCAGGTACTTCAGTGCAGGTTTCTTTCTAAAGTGCAGTTTGTATGAGCGGCTCCCAGTGTATAAATGACTGCTAGGCTTTGTTTTTAAAATTTGAGCCCAGTTAGTGGCCAGGAGCCCTGCTCAGTAGGTGTCTTTTCCAGGGTTCACATAATCAATTGGCCATTGTTGTCTGTAAAGATGGAAGGATGCCACAAGTCAGGGAAGTGGGCAGACTCTCAGCTGGGAAAGACGAGAACAGATTCTACCCTGGAGCCTCCAGAAAAGATTGTGACCCTGTTGTCACCTTAGTTTTAGCCTAGTGAGATACATTTTGGACTCCTGGCCTTGAGAACTATGAGATAATAAATGTGTGTGTGTTTGTGTTTTCTTTTTAAAAACAGCTAAATTTGATGCAAATTCTTGTAGCAGCAATAGAAAACAAACACAATGTTGAAATGTGCTGGCTGGCATCTGTCTCTTCCGCCACACTGGCAGTTTCTGGAGAACAAGAGCTGTTGGGAGGTCTAGGTCTTGTGCTTAGAAGGGTCCAGCTGCACGCTTAGGTGGGGTGTTATTCTTGGGAAATAAAACTCAGAGTGTGTATATGTTAAGGGCGTGCTGTCATAGCGATTCTCTGAGAAACACAATTTCATTCATGGTAATATGAAATTATGCAGCAGCAGGCCATACGTACTACACTACTTTCCAAGGACGCATTAAGAAAAAATATATTTATTCATTTTCAGAGAGATGGGAAGGAAGGGAGAAAGAGAAGGAGAGAAACATGGGTGTGTGAAACACCAATTGGTTGCCTCTCGAATACCCCCAACTGGAGACCTGGGCCACAACCCAGTGTGTGCCCTAACAGGGAATGGAACCAGTGACCTTTTGGTTCACAGGCTGACACTCAGTCCATTGAGTTGCACCAGCTAGGGCAAGAACAATTTTTTAAAAATTTTGATTGATTGATTTATAGAGAGAGAAGGGGGGGAGGGAGTGAGTGAGAGAGAAACATCATTTTATTGTTCCACTTATTTATGCATTCATTGGTTGCTTTTTCTATGTGCCCCAACCCAGGATCAAACCTGCAAACTTGGCATATGAGGACAATGCTCTAAGCAACTGAGCTACCTGGGCAGGGCAACATTGCATGCCTTTTAAAAAAAGATCATTCTTTAAGAAGTGAATTTGAACCTCAATTTTTAAGGAATCCTTAGGTTTCATTTTAAAACAATGGTTACCTCTTTAATCCTTCTGGAATTTAATGTGCACGGTATGAGAGAGGACTTAGTTTTTTCAGATGGAAAGCTGTTTGTCCCCAAAACTACTGAAGTACTCACTATTTATACCGTTAAAATAAGTCTTATTTTGTATAGTAAAAAATCCCAAGTAATCATGGCCTTTTCTGTATTTTTATCAATATTTGTCTGTCTTTATGTCAGTATCATGCTGCTTTGGTTACTGTGGCTTAATAGGACACTCTGCTGTCTGGTAGGGCAAGGCCCCTGTTAGCGCTTCTTGTTCTTTCTTCAATGTTTCTTGGCTGTGCTCACGTGTTTAGTCTTCCAGAGGAACTTTAGAATCAAGTTTCAAAACCTTCCTATTGGAATCTTGATGAAAATTGCCTGGAATTGACATCACTATGATATCGAATTAAGCTGAATAATCTTCTCATCGGGATCATGTTATCTTTTCACTTACTTAAGTCATTTTTAATGCCCTTAAAGTTCTCTGGTTGTTTTCTCATAGATCTGGCACTCTTCTCAAAATGTTCTAGGTACATACTTTTTTTTTTTCCTGTCATGGTGAATGAGATAATTGTTTTCATTTTAGACTTCAATTTTTTGAAAAGGTTTTGTCTTAGTCAAGGTTCGTATGATAGCAATTTACAGAAATATTCTCAAACTTCAGCAGAAAAAGAAAAGGGAGGATCTTTTGGAAGGTGGCCAAGGCCTTCCGAGCAGGCCAAGGGCAGAAAGAGGAGTGGGCCTTGCAGGGGGCTGGGCAAAAGCAGTGCTTGGTCTCCTGTTGCTGCTTCTCTCAGGAGATAATTTCTCTCTCTGTAGTTCCACTTTTCCTTGCTGCTCTTTGTCCCACTTTCACTCTTCTGGGCGGGAAGGGGGTACAGAACAAATCTGACTGCAGGGGTTACCCATATGAATGGAGTGATTCTCAGAAAAATTCCGTGGGCTGGGGAGGCACCCCTGAAATTGGTTTCAGAGCACTGAAATGTCAGGAACTTCAAAAGAATCTGTCTCTTCTCGCCTAAGGGGTTACAGTTTGGGTAAACCCTCTCTCCCTGCCTCCAGGTGATTGGATAAACAGGGACTGACAATCATCACCGGGTATGGGATTAATAATGCAACAAAAATATACCAAGCCCCTATTCTTACTTTAGATTTGTATCCTGCTTTGCTGTTTTGCTTTGTATACTGATGTGCTTCTACTTCATTTAACCACCTTTCAGGCTTCTGAGTCAGGTCACAGACAGTAAGGTATAAATGCTAAATTCTGTGGTTTAGGAGCATAAATTACCATTTTAAATATTTTCTTTAAGAAATAGCCTCCTTCAAATTTTGCAACTTGGTATAAAGATAATTATGAACCTATTCCTATTCTCAACTAGCTTATGATTCATTTTGAAAATGAATCAGAAATGGGAGCACTTCATTAAAAAACAAATAACAAAACAAAAACAAAAACCAAACAACTCCCCCCCCCCCCCCCGCCCGGAACACCAGAAATTCTCTTAAGACGTTTATTTTTTAACTTTCGTTGGGTAGTGTTTGACCCGGAGCCAAGTGAAAGCTACAGTAGTATCTTGGAACGAAGCAACTTTGGCAGTCTTGGCACAATCAGTTACTGATTGAGTGACCTTCACAAGTAACCTAGCCTGTGTGAAGCAGTTTTTAGATCCAGGTGTTACGAGGCAAAGCACAGTAAAAGCAAAGGACTCGGTACCCGTGGAACATTACCAACGACGTTATCACTAATGTGAGCCTGATGTTGCTGAAAGGGGAAAAAAAACCGAGTTTGGAGGGAGATTTAGGAAAAGGTGCCAAAGGAACCCCAGAAATGGCATCTCCGCCAGCCCCAGCTCTTTCACACATATCAAAGAACTCCTTGCTATGGAAAACACACTCTCCTTTAACTGGAAGACTATTGTTCGCTTTGTACGAATCTTTTCCTAACCACAATTCTATTTCTCCAAACTTTGCTTTGCTGTCCTGTCTGCACTGCAAACAACCAGTTAGGTTTGGCTCCGAGAGGCTGAGGGTAGCCCAGTGGGTATCCCAGGCTGTGAGGGGCCCACAGCGGGGAACGGGCCAAGCTCTGAGATGGGGTCTGGGGCTCCGACTGAAGTACAGCCTCCACCAAACCACCGAGCAGCGACCCCAAACGACCTATTTGCATGATTTAGGGCGTGGCTTCCGGCAACGGAGGCGTGTTTTCACGTTTTTTCTTTCTGTTAGCTTTCTTCCGGGGTGGGACTTCCTGTTTATCTTTGAGAGGCGCCGGCCTGCAGAGCTGATGAGCGAATCGCACGGGAGGGTGAGTCTGGCTGCTCAGGCTTTATGCTCCTCGAAGGGCACCAATGGAGGACTCACTTCCTCTCTTCCTTGTTTTTGTTTTTGTCCCGGCGAGGTCTCGGTTTGCACAGACACCCTGGCCCTTTGGCACTACCACCCACCTGAGGCTCTTCCGCTTCCTCTTTCCACAGGCTCCGCCCCCAGCGCTCGGTGGCCATGACGACCGCCCCGCGGGATTCCTTGTTATGGAAGCTCGTGGGGCTACTGCGGGAGTCCGGTGAGTGGACTTCCGGTTTCGCCGGCGCTGGGTAGAGGTGGGGTGTTTTCTGCTTTCCAGAGACACGCCCCCTTAAGAGTCACGCAGTTACTGCTGTTTAGTGTCACGCGGGTGTGTCATTTCATTTCCTTTTTCCTCTGGGGTTTGTTCTTTCTGGTGCCTTTGCCTACAGCGTCCTTTATCGTGGACAGTGTAAACCTTACCCATCCTTCGAGGCTAAACTTCACTGCCGCTGCCTCCATGCGTTCTCTGATACTCTCACAGGAAGGTGATTGTTACTTGGCTATAAACCCCTCGAGACCAGGGACTGGTCATAATCGCTGTGTGGCAAGGACCTAAATCCAGCATAAGTTAAAAGCATGAGATTTGAAGTCAGACCCCACCCGAGCTAGAATCCCAACTCTCTTTTCATACTTGGCCAAATTTTCAGGTTTTTTTTTTTAGCTAGTTTTTCTAACTAGCAAAATGGCATAGTGATTATACTTAACTCAAGTTCGTTGTGGGGATGAATTCTCATTAACATGAAGCATTGTAACTCATCTCAGTGCCTGGGCACGGTGGAGCCATAGTAGCTGTTCAGTATGTTGTGTTAGACAAGCCTCGGCTTTGAGATCATGCAGAAGTAGCTACTTGCTACCAGCCATATGATCTCAATCAAGATTCTTAACTTCACTGAGCCCCAGTTTCTGTATTTGTCAGAGGTGGTTAATAGAGCTTGTTAGGAGACTCTGATGAAGTTTAAATGAAGTAACAGAGTTGTCTGGCACACATTACCCAGTTAATGTTAGGCGCCTGCCATCACTGCATTCCCATTGGTGGTATCTGAAATCTCTCTATAGCATTTGAAACTGGCCTGTGCTATGAATGTGCACATGGCTTACCTCCTCTTTTAGACTGGGGAGCTCTTTCAGTGTGGGAGGAGTCCTTGACCATGCTTGTGTCTATCCCCAGTGTATGGTACATAGAAAACCCTTTGTGCAAGGTTATGAGATTTGTTAATTCAGCAAAAATCTGACTTGGCTCCATGGGTTAGGGATGATGGTATTTGTGTGGGTGGGTGACTGAAGAGGTAGCACGAGAGAGATCTTTGTGGTAATGGAATAGTTTGGTATCTTGATTGTGGTATTGGTTTCAGGAATCTACACGTATGACAGAGTGGCACAGGAGTATAAATATACATTGCACCAATGCCCACTTCCTGGTTTTGATATTGTACTGTATATAAAATGTAACCATTGGGGGAAACTGGGTGAAGGGTGTAGAGGGACCTCTTTGAATTGTTGCTACAACATCCTTTGACTTTATCCTTGTTGTTTCAAACAAGTTACAGAATTCTCCATGCCTACCTTGTTGTTGCACTTTTTTTGGTGCAGTGGTGAATGCCAAAGGGTGCCCTGAAGGGTGACAGTCTCATTGGAGAGAGCACTGTTTTAAAAAAATATATTTTATTTGTTTATTTATTTAGAGGGGAAGGAAAGGAGAGAGGTAGAGAACATCAAGGTATGGTTGCCTCTCATGCATCCCCTGTTGAGAACTGGCCTGCAACCCAAGCATGTGCCCTGACTGGGAATCGAACTGTGATCCTCTTGTTCACAGGCCTGTGCTCAATCCACTGAGCTACACCAGCCAGGGCTGGAGAGAGCACTTTTAACGTAGAAGGCAACACCTTAGGGTGATCCTGAGCAGTTATTCTATGATGTGCATTTTAGTATCGTTTGAGAATTTCTGTGAGTGTGCTTGATAATTTCGTAACCTGAAAAAAACAAGAGATAAAACATCCAGTCAACTTTTACATAAAATGAGTGATTATAGTGAAAAATTGAGCAGTGTCGTGGTGTATTGAGGACGCGCCTGGAGGTGTCAAGCTGGGCCGAGTGGAAGGGGCAGTGTCAGAAAGTGAGGGAGCTGAGAACAAAGTTGACCCTGTTTCCAGCAGTGTGAGTAGACCAGGCTCTTTTGAGCAGAAGGGAAAAGCAAATTTAGAAAAGTCAGAGGCATGTAGTAAAGCAATGCATGTGCCAGGCTGAGAGTTAGGATGCTTTCTGAAGACAGAGGAGCTGCTGAAGGCCTTTCAGTAAGGAGAAGGTACAAAGGCTGATCCTGCAGTGCAGGATCTGCAATATAGATACGTGTGGGTGTCTCCTGGGATTACAGTGTCTCAGAATAAAGGCACAGACCCTTTCCTTACGCCCTCCTTCCTGTCCGCCCCTCTCCCTGCAGGGGATGTGGTCCTGTCTGGCTGTAGCACACTGAGCCTGCTGACTGCCACGCTGCAGCAGCTGAACCACGTATTTGAGCTGTACCTGGGGCCATGGGGCCCTGGCCAGACAGGCTTCGTGGCACTGCCCTCCCACCCCACCGACTCCCCTGTCATCCTCCAGCTTCAGTTCCTCTTCGATGTGCTGCAGAAAACGCTCTCACTCAAGGTTCTGGGGTGGGAGTGGGGTAGGCTGTAGGGGAAGCCCAGGAGAACAGTGGAGGGGGGGCTGGGGGTGTAGCATGGGTGCAGGAAGTCTGCACGACTCAGGTCCAGAAGCTGTGAGAGCTCCGGGTGGCTGTGCTAAGAAAGAGATGCTGGGGAAAGGTGTGCCCGGCCTCACTGATCCGAATGTCTTTTCTTTTAGCTGATCCACGTCCCTGGTCCTGGCCTTCCAGGGCCCATCAAGATTTTTCCCTTCAAGTCCCTCCAGCAGCTGGAGGTATGGCGCCTTGGGGCACGTTACTGCCCAAAACCCAGCTCGAGGCAGCCTTTTGAGTATGAAAAAAAGAGGTGGTCTCTTTTGGTGGCCTCCATTGCTGTGCAGTAATGTGGCATCTATTCACTTTTCCATTTAATGCTTCCCTGAAGCACAGGTGGCTTCGTCATCTTCCCCCTTCTCCCCTTCCTTTGCCGCAGCTCCGAGGTGTCCCCGTCCACCGCCTTCATGGCCTCCGTGGCATCTATTCCCAGCTGGAGACTCTGATTTGCAGCAGGAGCATCCAGAGGTTAGAGGTATGGAGGATGGGGGCAGGGGCCCAGATTCTTTGTCCTGAGGGACATGGAGGACCAAACTGTTGATACTCCCCCTTCCCTGTAGCCGTCCTTGCCTCCTGGCTCCTTCTGCTGTGCCCCCACAACGCCCTGTACCTGTCCGTGTATTTATATCGCACCTGTCACATTGTCTTAAGTAGTGTTCTCTTTATCACCTGACTTTGGGGATAGGGCCCTCAGCTCTCTGTAGGTCCATATTCAGACTGAGCTCAGCACATAAAGAGTGAGCGAATGGCCGGGCCATAGAATGTGGGGAGGAGGGGAGAGTGGAGCTGACTGTGCACCTCGTCTCAGGAGCTCCTCTCAGCCTGCGGCGGCGACCACTGCTCTGCCCTGCCCTGGCTAGCTCTGCTTTCTGCCGACTTCAGCCGCAATGCGCTGACTGCCTTAGACAGCTCTCTGGTGAGTGCCTTGGAAGGGGCCTGGGGAAGGACAGGCGTGGGCCCTGGGGGGGGGCCAGCTGGCTGCCTGGGGGAGTCCGACCCTCTGTTTCCTCCCATCTCTGCACAGCGTCTCTTGTCAGCCCTGCGCTTCTTGAACCTGAGCCGCAATCAACTCCAGGACTGCAAGGGCTTCCTGATGGTGAGTGCGAGTGTCTTGCTTGGGCCTGGTGCCACTCGGTCCTCTGATCGTTCTGCTCCGACTCCCTCTGTGGACCCGGTTTTGCTCCCGAGCGCTCTCGCCCACTGGGCGGAGCCATATCCCAGTGGGCAGTGCTGTTTGGGGGCTGAGGCTCAGCATGAGACAAACCGGTTTTCAAATCTCAGCTGCTAACCCTTGTGTGATTTGGGTGGAATTAGCCTCTTGGTTTCTTCACCAGTAGAGTGGAAAGAATAGGAGCACTCGCTTTTATAGTATTGAGGTGATTACGAGGAGTATCTGATGCTACTTAGCCCCGTGCCTAGCCCACCGAAAGGCAGCTCTTATGATGAAAGGGAAGAACCCTTCTCTCGTGTCTCCCTGTCAGAGATAAACAAAGCTGGACACTGGGTTAAGTGGTAAGAACAGATTTTAATAATGGACTGTTGTAGTTTATCAAGTAATAAACTATTGTGATGTTTAATCAGTAAAACTTTAAAAAAATATTTATTGATTGATATTTAGAGAGACGGGTAGGGAGGGAAGGAGAGAGAAACATCGATTTGTCGTTCCACTGATTTACGCGGTACATTCATTGATGCTTGCACCCGCCCCAATGGGGGATGGAACCTGCAACCTTGGTGTATTGGGATGACGCGCTAATCAACTGAACTACTTGGCCAGGGCCAGTAGTAAAACTGTTTTATGCGGTAATAAACTAGTCAGTGTGAACCGAGCTCATGTTTAGTTTGTACACAGGTCACTGGGTGTGTTGAAGTGAGAGTGAGGGATGGGGGAGGGGCCGGCGGAGGCTTGAGCAGCTCTTCCCCTTGACCAGGCTGTAGTCGGGGTCCTCTGAAGTCAGGGAAGTGGGGATGTACAGAAAGCAGGGAGGGGCACTGGTCTGTGTGAAGCCCACCTGTCTGGGTTTGCTGACTGGCACTTGCCAGAGTGAGGCTCCTACCCTCCCGCGGGAGCTGGGGGACAGGCGCCTGTCTTTAGGTGGTGTTGGCTGGAACAGACTCAGTTCTTCTGGCAGCCCTGAGTCTTTCTAGGCAGGAGTGGCTGGAGTTGTCATCTTGAGGACGTGGGCTTGAGCCGTCAGAGACTATGCTCGTTCAAGTCTTTCGATGTCGGGAGTGGAGGGGTAGATTGGATCCTGTGCGCTGAGAGGCTGCAGTTTTGCAGACCGAGGGTGAGGTCCGGGGAGGCGAGGGCTCTGGGGTCCTGGTTAGAGTCTGTCAGGGAGAGAGTCCCTGCCACCTCCCACTTCCTCCCAGGACTTGTCTGAGCTCTGCCATCTGGACATCTCCTATAACCATCTGTGTTCCGTGCCGAGACTGGGACCCTCTGGGGCTGCTCTGGGGACCCTGATCCTGCGAGGCAATGAGCTCCAGGGCCTGCATGGTGAGTGGGGGAGTGTGTGGAGGGGAGGGGAGACTCGGGGTGGCCAGGGGCCTGGGAACCATGTGCCTCTGGAGCCTCACGGGTGCTCCCAGGCGGGTCTGAGTGCCCAGGACTGTGTTCTCACTGCACCGCCCCAGCATGCTCCCACCCCTCCACCCCTCCACCCCTCTCTCACTCACATGCCTTTCCTGTTTTCTCGCCTTTGCCCCAGGCCTAGAGCAGCTGAGGAACCTGCAGCACCTAGATGTGGCGTACAACCTGTTGGAAGAACACAGGGCGCTGTCACCACTGTGGCTGTTGGCCGAGCTCCGCAAGGTGGGACTGGGGCTCTTCGAAGACCTGGAAGCCAGCTCTGCCCCCTGCCCCCCAATGCAGATGTGGTCGGTGTCCGTTTGCCGTGGAGAGGCTCAAGGCCCACCTTAGTCTCCTTCTTGCCCTCAGCTCTACCTGGAGGGAAACCCTTTGTGGTTCCACCCTGCGCACCGTGTGGCCACCGCCCAGTACTTGTCCCCCCGAGCCAGGGATGCTGCTTCTGGTGTGAGTGACTTCCCCTGTGCACTCTCCTTTGTCTTTCCTGCCCCGTCCCACACCCACCCCTGCACCTCTTGCCTTTTCTCACCCCCTAGACGCAGAGCCCAGGCCCTGGACCCCTTGCTTATTATGTTAATACCTCCTGCTGAGCCTGGGGGTCCTTACAGGTCTTAGGAGGGCTCCCAGCCCGGCTTGGAGCTCCCAGGGTGTGCGCCCCACCACCAACACTGCCCCCTCCTCTCTTGTCTCTGTTCAGTTCCTTCTTGATGGAAAGGTCTTGTCACTGACTGATTTTCAGGTTGGTGTGATGGGAGTGCTGGGACTGGGACAGCAAGGACTGGGAATGCCGGGACTGGTTTGGAAGGGTGGGGAAGGGAGAAGGCTCGCTGAAGGAAACCGGGTTCCCGGGGCAAGGTTCTGCCTGGTTGGCTGGCAGCTCTTGGCGAGCTTGGGGAGGGCAGAGGTGCTCCTCTGGCTGCGACCTCTTTCTCCTTCCTGTTGTCACACGCCAGACCTCCACATCCTCAGAGGCCCCGCCTCTGTCCTGGCCAGTGGGGAGTACCACTGAAACCTCAGGTGGCGCTGACTTGAGTGACAGCCTCTCTTCCGGGGGCGTTGTGGCCCCAGCCCCGATTCGTAAGTTTAAGGTAAACAGTGTCCTAGGCTGCCTTGGACCTGGGGTTAGGTCCCTGTACTGGGGCTCTCGGTTGTTGAGGGGCTCAGAATAGTAAGGCTTTGTCCTTGTTTGTGGGTGGATGTTTTCAGTAGGTGGGGTGGGAGGCCTCGCTGTATGGAATACCATCCCTCTACCCAAACGCAGAGCCGAGTTCGGGTGAGACGGGCCAGTATCTCAGAACCCAGTGATACAGACCCAGAGCCCCGCACCCAGGACCCCTCCCCGGCTGGTAAGTCAGCCCTGCCCCCAGCCTCCCGTGCCCCGGCCCAGCGCTCCCTAGTCCTCTAGTTCGGAGGGATTTTGGTTTTGGTGGAGCGGAGCGTTATAGAGGGCCTGCTCGGCTTTCCTCTTCCCGTCAGTTTGGAGGGAGGAGGAGAGGCAGCTCCTGGGCAGCATTTCCCAGAGTGTTTTACAAGGAATGTTAGTTTTGTGGTGTGTCAAAGGGATTCCGTGGCCAGACAGGCTTGGCAGGTGGTAGGTTAAAGAAGCAGCTGTTCCCCCGGGACGTCACAGGACCTTAAATGTGCTACTGCGAGTCTCCCAAAGCGGCGCATGACGCACAGGTGTGAATTGCGTGAACCCAGAGAGTGTGTGGAACACACTCTGCGGCCAGCTGCTGAGGGGAAGCCTTCAGCCTGTCTCTGCCTCTGTCCCCATCTCTGCCTCTGTCCCTGCCTCTGCCCCATCGCATGGACTTTTATATTATCCCAAGGGGCATTCACAGGAGAGGCCGGGACTGTTGGGGCTGAGGTGGGAACACGGACATTCCCAGGGGAGGCTGGGGACACAGCTAAGCTGAGTAACACTGTCCGCTCCCATCCCATACACACCTGTGTAGGACGGTTTGTCCAGCAACACCGGGAACTCGAACTTATGAACAGCTTCCGGGAACAGTTTGGCTGTGATTGGCTACAGTATAGGAATCACCTGGAGGCTTCTGGGATCCCTGTCCTGGCTTCCTCCAAGACCCCTGCCCTCAGCACCCTGCACCCGGACACCCTGAGCCCCGAGACTGTGCCCAGCCCGCCACCCCCAGAGAAGGAGTCCCCACAGGAAGTGACAGAGGAGGTCAGCGTGGGGCTAGAGCCAGGGGAGGAAGAGGAGGTGGAGGAGCAGGGAGAAGAGGAGGAAGAAGAGGAGCAGGAGCAGGATGAAGTAGAAGGTGAGCTCCTGGTGGCCGAGATGGTGGTGCGTTGGGAGAGAGAGGAAAACCCGCGTGCAGGGTGGCTGAGCCCTTGTGCAGGGAGGGCCAGCCCATGGGAGGGCGGAGTCTTGCTACTTCTCCCTGCTTACAGGGTCTCTCTCTTGCTCTTCTCTCCTCAGCGGAGCTCTGTCGCCCCTTGTTGGTGTGTCCCCTGGAGGGGCCTCAAGGTGTGCGGGGCAAGGAGCGCTTTCTCCGGGTCACCTCGGGCCACCTGCTCGAGGTGGAGCTCCAAGCAGCTCAAACCCTGGAGCGGCTGGAGCTCCAGAGTCTGGAGGCCGCGGAAGTAGAGTGTGAGACCCAAGCCCGGAGGGAACCCCTGCCCGAGGTGGGTGTGGCTTCTGGACACGGTGCTGGGCGGTTTTCAGCAGCCAGCTCTGACACTGGATCTTGGGTGCCCGGCACCGGGCTCTGAGTCCTCCTGGTCTCTCGCTGGCGCCGAGGAGGTAGCTGGGGGAGCGTAGGTGACCCCAGGCTGCTCGGGAGGCTGGCCCAGGGGTAGAGCTTCTGGGCCAGCGCCAGGGTGTTGGCAACAGCATTTTACTGGGGTCCAGAGCTCTCATCCGCCTCTGTGCTCTCGGTATAACCCCAGCCCCTCTGCCGTTTTTTCCTGGTCCCATCTTCCCATGCAGGGCTCAGAGCCGCCGCCCACAGCCCCTGTCCTCGTTCTGCGCTTCTCTTACATTTGCCGGAACCGGCACTTGCGTCGCTACGTGGTGCTGGAGCCTGATGCCCACGCCGCTGTCCAGGTGATGGGGTTCAGGCGGCTGCTGGGAGAGCAGAAGGCTGGGGGCCAAGGTCCCCCTGCTCACAGCCGCCTCCGACCCATCTGTTTCAGGAGCTGCTTGCTGTGTTGACCCCAGCTGCCACCAAGGCTCAGCATCAGTGTGGGGAAGTGAGGGACCAGCTGGGGGGCAGACTCCAGTGTCTGCGCTGTGGCCACGATTTCAAGCCAGGGGAGGCCAGGTTGGGCCTGGACAGTGTGGAAGGTGGGGGGCCTCTGTTCCAAAGCACAGGTACAAACCCTGCCCTTGACCTCCTGGCCCATGGGCCTCCTGCCATGTTAGGGAAAATGGCTTTGAGGGTGGGAGTGTGGAAGGGGACCCACAGGGAAGAAAGGAGCGAGGATCCGCTTTCTGTCTGGTGGAGAAATAAAACCGTTTGCCTGCTACGTGTATAAAAAAAGTAAAAGAAGAAAGTGGATCCTTTTTCCCCCTCTAAAAGTCAGGAAATACAATCTCTGTAACTGTTTAAACATACTCATTATTTTTTCATGACTTGAAGCCTTTTCCCCCTTTTTGGGCTCATGTTCCAGAAACTACATAAAACCTAATGCGCCCTCAGTGCCCACTGTCGGCGTAGCACTGCTACCCGAGAGCTTCAGCTGTTGGGTCAGACAGTCTGGGCGTTGCCTCCGACTGTCCTTCCTGCCTGACCTTAGAGCCTCGGGGTGTCGAGTCCTGCCTGTTGGTGCCTCTCCATGTCCTGTTCTTTAAGACCAAAAAATTTTCCCTGGCCGACCAGTCCAAAAGATGAATGTTGATAACTCCTGTGTTAAAATACGTGATTTTTATAACTTTCCTCTTTGGTAGCAGCCAGAGCAGGGGTTTACATATTGTTCAGAAAGCAGACCTCTGTCTAGTGTGCTCCCCGGGCCAGCCCAGGAGGCGGTGGGCCCCAGGGGCCCCAGGGGCTGTGGGTGTAGTGGAAAGAGCCCCACCTCCTCCCAGACTCGGTCTGTGCTCCACAGTGGGTGGGTCGTTCGTGTGGCCCCTGGGGTCCCTTCAGCGGAGGCATCGTTCATAAACCTTCCTGCGTGAGTCTTTGTTACCTTGCCCAAATGAAGATGAGAGTAAACTTGCCCCAGGGTGCGGGCAGGAGATTTAGATGTGACAGAAAGGCAGCAAGCAAGGGGCTGGGCTCCAAACCAAGGACTTCCTTCAGTCAGTGGTTGCTGGGGGCCCTTTGCTTTCCTCATTTGCAAATGGGAGGGGGAGGGTTTTGATGCTCCGGTCCAAGGCTCTGGCGCGAGCCCAGCCATTGTAGCTGCTCAAGGAATGTTTCTTCTCTCCTTGCTGGTCCCTCTCCTGGATCCTTTGCCTGATTACGTTCACTCATCCTGACAACCCTGTAAGATTGGACTGTTGTCATCCCTTTTACAGATGAGGCACCAGGCAGAGGGAGCTCAGATGACTTGTCCTAATTGCTTAGATGATAGCCTTTAAGTGATGGAGCCTGGAATTAGACCCATGTCTGGCACCTTGCCCTCCCACTGTTGAGTTGGGGCTTTAGACATTGCCGGTAGAGCATCCAAGTACATGATCAGCCCCAGGCGGTGGGAGGGGACCAGCACAGGGCCTGGTGGAGCCTGGCTCTTTCAGAGAAGACCCAAAGGGAGGTGGTGGGGTGTATTTGGAGGAGCTGTGGGCCCCCGGTCCAGGAGTGATCAGTTAGCAGCTAGGCCCTCGGAGGGAGGTGGGTGGCCGCAGAAAGGTGGGGAGTGTGTGCGGCTGGAGGTGTGGGCTGAGGTGAGTCTGAGAGTGAGTGGGGGCGGGTGAGCGCGGCAGGGGGTTGTGGTGCTGTGTGGGGGGTCATGGGGATGTGCCCATCTCTCTCCAGAGGCCCCTGCTGTGTGTCCCAACTGTGGCAGTGACCACGTGGTTCTCCTGGCTCTGTCTGTGGGGGCCCCCAGCGGGGAGCAGAGGCAGGAAGAGCAGTTGCCAGCTGCCTCGCAGTCTCCCAGCACTGCCCGTGACCCTCCCGGCAGCGAGGACCACAGCCGTGCGGCTGACCGCGCCTCGTCTCGGGCACTGGTCTCCCACGACCATGGGTGGAGCCTCAGTCCCCGTGAGTATAGGACAGATGAGGCTGGGCTGGTGTTTGGGGGAGGGAAGGGGCACAGGCGGGGGTAGGTGGGTTGGAACTGGGCAGCCACAGCACACTGACGGCCCACTGCCTGTCCCCAGCCCCTGAGCGCTGTGGGCTCCGCTCTGTGGACCACCGACTCCGGCTCTTCCTGGATGTTGAGGTGTTCACTGACGCCCAGGAGGAATTCCAGTGCTGCATCAAGGTCCGTGCCCGTCTGGCTCTGCCCCGGGCCCCTAACTGACCGGGCGCCTGGTTGTGTCCGTCACAGCCCCTTGTGTCAGAGCCGGTGCTCCGAACTACCGGCCTGGCTTCCGGTGTCAGCCCCAGCAGTCACTTGCTGGGGGCCTTGATGTGCGAGTCTCCGCTGTCGCTCCTCCGCGAGGGCCGTAATAATTCCTTTCCGAGTGCGTCTGAGTGGGTCAGCATCAGCAAGAGCTCCTGTCTACAAACTGCAGGGTGCAGCACCTGGCCTCAGGCACCTGCTGTCGTTACTGTAAATGCAGGGTGTCACTGGACCCTCTCTGTTGAGTACCTAGCACGTGCTAGACACTAAGCGTCTAGGCTAAATCAGTCTCGCTCTCTGTCTTATACTCTGGTGTGAGAAACAGACAACGATCATGTGATATGGAAGTGCTGGAATAGGGTCCTAGAGGGGCATCTGGTCCAGCCCGAGCGGGCCAGGGAAGCCGCCCCTTCCTGGGGAGGTGATGGCCCAGCCAGCCCTGAAGGATGAGTTACAGAGGAGGGAGGGAAAGGGTGTTCCAGGGGAGCGACGCAGCGCGTGCACGAGGCTTCAGAGGGAAGCTAGTGGGGAGACCTGCCGTGATGGGGGCAGCCAGAGTGTGGGGGGAGTGTCCCGAGAGGAGTCGGAGCAGGCAGGCAGGGGCCGGTTCAGGAGACACCTTGTGTGTCTGCCAAGGGGTTTGGACCGGATCCGAAGGGCTATGAGAGCCACTGAAGGGCTGGAAGCAGGGGAGTGGTGATCAGTTTTGTGTTTTAGAACAATCCGGCTGGCAGAGTGTGGAGGGTGGATTGGAGGGACGAGGTGACAGGCAGGGAGACCTGCAAAGAACCTGCTACGGTCAGAGTGTAGGCAGGGGGCATGGGGTGTGGAGAGCAGGCGGGTGGGGACCTGGGGTGGGTGCGCCGGTGGAGGGGTCGGCTGAAGGTGCCGTCACAGTAACTTGGCGCTCATTCCGGCCGCTGCCTCCCTAGTCCTCTCTGTTTCTCATCGACTTCCTCTTCCTCTTAGGTGCCACTGGTGTTGGCAGGCCACCCTGGGGAGTGTCTTTGTCTTGTGGTCGTGTCTGACCACAGGCTTTATGTATTGAAGGTGACCGGGGAGGTCTGGTGAGTGAGTGGGACCGTGGCCCAGGAAGGTCAGGGTTCCCTTGTGGGTTTCACTCTACTCTTCCTCTTTCCCACCACTCTGCCCCTCCTCTCTCCACAGTGGGCCTCCAGCTAGCTGGCTGCAGCCAACCCTGGCCATTCCCCTGCAGGATCTGAGTCGCGTAGAGCTGGGCCTGGCAGGACAGAGCCTGCGGCTAGAGTGGGCAGCTGGGGCGGGCAGCTGTGTCCTGCTGCCCCGAGATGCCAGGCATTGCCGAGCCTTCCTGGAGGAGCTCACTGGTGAGAGAGGAAAGGGAGAGACAGGGAGGGCAGGCCGGGGGCGGGGCGGTCATAGATTCCATGTCTGGTGCCCACAGTCGAGATAGACAGGTGGTGAAACGCAATCCTCAGAAAAGTTCCTGAAATCTAGAGACTTGGAGAATGGGCAGGTGCTGCGAGGCAGGGAGGTTGGGCTAGAAGAGGTGGAGTCTCGAGGGCTCCCTGTCTCTGGTTGGCTCTGTCCAGATGTCTTGCAGGCTCTGCCCCCGGCCTGGAGGGGCAGCGTCAGTGCCACGGAGGAGGAGGTGACCCCGAAGCACCGACTGTGGTAAGTCGGTAAGAGGATGAGGCCAGGGTTGGAGCCCCCGGTCCCCGTCCTCAGGCCCACAGGCCCGGTTCTTCCTTCCTGCTCTGCCCATCCTGGTACTGCCCACCCCTGGCTGACCACGCCCTCCCGGGGCTGCCACCTTCCCCCCAGGCCGCTGCTGGAAAGAGCCTCTGCCTTGGAGCCTCCCCACTTCTTCTACCTTCAGGTGTTCCTGGTTGAAGGTGAGGCCTCTGCACCCTGTCTTTTCTCAGGCCACTGGCCTGGCCACCAGTGTGTGTCCAGCTCTCAGTTCTGGGGATCTGGACTTCCTGTCACTCGTGGGCATGCCCACATGACCACCTCAGTGTTCCTGGTCTCTCTGGGTAGGGCCGGGAGGTCCCCTTGGTTTCGGGCCTGGGCTCTCTGTGAGTGGGAGGAGGTTGGCTGGGTCTGCTCTGCCTCAGCCTTTTGGAGAAGGCGAGAGTGGACCCTCCTTTCTGCGTTGGAGAGGTGCTGGGGCAGGCTTCCTTTGTCTCAGAGGTCTTGGAGGCTAGAGATCCCTGGAGCTGGGGGGCCCAGCCCCCAGAGTCCGGCCGCTTTGTGGCCGTCTCACCGTGGTCCGCTCCTCTCCTCCCGAGCGGCTGGGGCTCTGCCGCAGGGCCCAGGCTTCTCCACGGCCTTCCACCCTGCACCTCACCCTGCCTCTTTTACTCCAGGCTCCGCTACGTGTCCCGTGTCCCTGTTGCTGACTCTGTCCACCTTGTACCTGTTAGAGGAGGACCTTGTGGGGTCCCAGGCAGAGCCCCCTCTTCCAGCAGCGTCTGGTGAAGGCTCTGAGAAGGCCCTACTCTTGGGGCCGGGCCCCTCCTTACGTGTGAGGGAGCAGCAGCCACTCAGCAGCCTGAGCTCGGTGGTGCTCTACCGCACGGCGCCGGAGGACCTGCGGCTGGTGTTCTACGATGAGGTGTGTTGTGCACGCACACGCGTGCCTGTGAGTGTGAGAGAGGCAGAGAGAGGTGGGGCAGAGTGGTTTGTAGGTGGGAAATGGGTCTAGAAGGCCAGGAATGGGGGGGCGTGTGGAATGCGCCGTGGACAGTGGTGGCTGGGAGGACAGAGAAGTCAGGTGCAAGGACCTGGGAGGCTCACTGGTATGGACAGGAGCAAGTCGGGGTTGGGCCGCTGTAGGCAGTACAAACACCCTGAACTTGGAGCCCAGCCTTGTGTTAGCTGGGTGGCCTTGAGTGAAGCATCCTGCTGCTGCTGCTGCTGCTGCTCCTGCTTTGGGTTTGCATTTCATTGGTCCCCTCGCCAGCCGTTTGCTCTTTACAGCCTGCATGTGAGGAGGTCCTGTCATTAGTCCTGCTACAGGGGAGGACACAGGTGTGCACATGTTAACCAGCCTGCCCAGGTCACGGGTGGTAGAGCCAGGAGCTGAGCCCCAAGCAGTTTTTTGGAATTGACTCCAGAACTAACAGGACAGATTAAAGAAACAAGACAGTAGTTGGGAAAGCCCTTTGGGGGCCTTCAGTAGGTGTCAGTTGGGTTCTATTTAAAACGTCAGGATCTTCTATGGGGACTGACAGGCTTGGGGAAGGGCAGAGGCTGCGAGCAAGGAGGGGCCGTGGGTCCTCCTTGGACCTCCCCTCCCGCCCTCCCGGGTGGCCCTCTGTGAGCTCACCTCACCACTCTTGGTCTGCCAGGTGTCCCGGCTTGAGAGTTTCTGGGCGCTCCGTGTTGTGTGCTCGGAGCAGCTGACGGTCCTGCTGGCCTGGATCCGGGAGCCCTGGGAGCAGTTGTTTTCCATCGGACTCCGGACTCTGACCCAGGAGGCTCTAGACCTCGACCGGTGAAGCCTCCCTGCTGACCCCACCCCGGCCTCGGGAGCCGTGGCTGCAGACCTTCTCTGTCCAGACCCTGGCTGTGGACTTCTCCAGCCTTTGGGTGCCGGCCAGTGAGGCCCCAAATGACCCACGGCTCAAGGGAAGGCTGAGAGAGGTGGTCAGGCCTCTGGGTGGTCTGACCTGAGGGGACAGGCTCAGTGGTCAGTGGGAGTGTCTCTCCCGCACTTTTCTCAGGTCTCAATAAAGATGTTTCTACTCCGGACGTCACGGGTGTACTTGGATGTGTCGCTCGTGAGGCCTGCGGTCCTTCTGCCTCTTCTGACAGGAGCTGCCCTGCCCTGTGAGGAGCCCAGGCAGCCTTGTTTGTACCTTGAGACCCCGTCTCCCGGCCTCCTCCGCCCCCACGATGGGATCCAGTAGGACTCCTGACCCGTGAGGGCCAAGTCCTCAGCCAGCAGCGCCCGCCATGTGGCACAGCATAGAAATCGCCGCCTCACGAGTAGCAGGGCCTGTCAGATTCTCACTCTCGAACGTGAATTGGGAACTAACGAGGACCTGAGGCCATTGGCGGGGGCACTGACTGTGGGGGGGGACTGGGGAGAGGGGTGGAGTTGATGTCGGCATTGGGTGGTTTCCGCTCCCGCCTGCTCGGCGGGGGGCCTGCTGGCGCTGACCCCACTCCTTCACCTCTGTCTCCGTGGCCAGGGTGAGGGGTGCAGGGAGGCTCATGCAGCCCATTCCACCTGCCAGCACCCAGACCTGGCCTTTTGCTGGAGCAGTTAAGAAAGAAGGAAGCTTCACCCGCGAGGGTTACTGACAGGGTGAGCCTGCAGCAGCTGGCCTGGAACTGGAATGTGCAGAGAGAAGAAGACAGAGCCCGGGGGCAGATGGAGCAGGGACCAGTCCGGGTGGTGTCTCTGGAGTCCCTGGTCCGACTGTGCCTGCTGACAGTCACGTCTGGGCTTTTAGGTAACATGAGCTAAGTAAGGGAGGCCCCTCCTTTTTTCTTTTTTGGTTTAAGCTAATTTGAGCCACTGAAAGGTCCTCCCTACATGAACCCTGTTCTGACTGGAGCCAGCCTCAGGTGGGATCTGCCTATTGTACTCGAGAGCGACCACAGTGGAGCAGGGGCACCTGCGTATGTGTCTACACTGGCCCTGCCCGGGGGAGGGGGCTTGGGGCAGTGGTGTTGGGGAGTCAGGTCAAGCTGCCCTTGAGCCCCAAACCGGGCGTGGCAGAGTGTGTGTGTGGTCCTGAGTACTGACAGATGGCTGTCCTTTATGGAGCATTTACTTGCCAGGTGCCGAGCTTAGTGCTTGACGGGGTCCTGGGGGGTGGGTGGCATCTTGTTGCCGGTGAGGACACTGAAGCTGAGGAGTTCAATGACTTGCTCAAGGTCACACCGGTACATACATGGAGGAGAACTGCCGAGTCCAGGCCTGAGTGACTCCAAGTGTGGGCTGTCAGCGCACCAGCCGGCGACACTGCCCCCGCCTTTTCTGCAGTGGGTGGGTCTGTGTGCCCAGCTCCACTCAGAGGGACCGCTGCCCACCCTGCCCTGGGTCGGGCATCTCCTGAGTGATCCGTGACTTGTCCTGGATAGGCAGACCCAGGTGGACTGTACTTGAAGTTTCTCTTCCCCCAGGGAATGAGATGTTAGTTGAAGTATCAATTCCTGGGTGAGTCTCTCCCTGCAAGCTGACTGGAGGTGGAGAGAACGAAGATGCCAGATCTTTAGGTTTTAAGTGAAGGGGCTAAGCTGTAAGAAGAGATTGGAAATCCAGGGATTGTAGACAGAAAAGACTCCAGAGTGGCGAGTGAAGGGTTTTCAGAGAAGAGCATCGGAAGTGGTGGAGGAGCAATTCCTTTGGCATTAGGCGGCTCTCAGGGTGATGGGGCGCTGGGCCTTGCTCCCTGCTTGGTATTAGGGAGGATGGTGCCCTGTCAGATGCTTCTCAGGCCACCAGGGCGGATGGAGATGGCAGTCAGGAAGGACCCGGCAGGATAGTGCCGGTGACAGTTGCCCAGATTTCTTTTGCTTGGAGAAGGGAGGGGTCTCCAAAATCCCGTGGGTCCCAGGAGTCAGCTGAGAGGGTGCTGGAGGGTGTGCCAGGGTCCAGCAGGAGGACCAGTGGGCCCAACCCCCAAATGGGGATGCGGCCGGGTTCGTTGTGAACCGAGTGAGTTTACGTCAGCGGCCTGAGTTCACCTGAGTATCTTTCCTGTTAGTTGGAAAAGGGCGCTCCTTAGAAGGATAAAGTTGAGTTGCAGAGAAGAATTTACATTTTTGCGTGTCTGCATTTTGGGGCTGCTGCATTTCTGGAATTCAAGGTTTAGAAGGTGGGGACCTAGAGGGCAAGAGGGGTGGTTCTTTTGTAGTGGTCTTGCGGCTACTCCTTATTTCCCCCTCAACGGGCCCTCAACTGAAGGTTCCCAAGGGGAGGTATGTGTCCTGTTAACTTGGTCAGACCTTGCTGCAAACTTTGTTTTGGGGAAATCCAGGGCGGGGCCTCCCAGGGTGGGGCCTCCCAGGGTGGGGGCGGGGAGGACAGGGGTGGTTGCAGTAGGCTGGAGAAGACTTAAATGCCCCAGGAGCCCAGTTCCACCCTTGACCTAGCCAGCCCTCCTCAAACCCCGGGGCCCTGGAGGATGGAGTTTTATGGGAAGGAGCCGGTGCCCTGCGGGCCAGTCGCTCAGACTTGGGCCTGGCTCACGAAGGACTGGTCCTTGGGTTCCCGGGGGAATGGCTGCTGGGCCCCAGGTGGGAGAAGGCCACCAGGATGGTTAGGCCACTCTGGCCAGTTGCGCCTTTTCTGACCTGCATGTGGGCCAGCATTACCCCTCCTGAAATGTGCGCATTACATAGTCTTTCGTAAGTGCCCCGAATGGGTGAATTTCTTTATACCTTCCCTGGACAGAGACCAGCAGGGCACAGGTCCTGCCGCAGAGCCCATTAAAGCGTATGTCCGAGCAGGAGGGGCTCCCCAGTGGCTCATAGACTACCTCCCCGAAAGTAGCTGCCTTCCCCAGGCCAGGACAGCCAGGAGGGCGGCTGGGGGCCGGATTTAAAGCTCCCTTGAAGATGGAGAGGAACACCTGTAGATAATGGTGGTGGTCACAACCTAACAGCTAGGGCTCAGGGAGCCCTTACTGCGCCATGCAGTGTTTAAAGCAGCTGATCGTCTCAGCGTTTCTCACATTCCTTTGATCACAAGATACTAGAGCCCATGTTTTCAAGAAAACGGCTGTCTGTGGATGGATGGGACCCAGACCAGGAAGGCAGTGCTGAGGCCCTGACACAGGGTTTCTGCTGTTTTCTGGAGCCCACTGGTTCTCCCTCCCTCCCCACCTCTCCCCTCCCCTGCAGGGCCCAGGTCTGGTCTGGTGGGAGGGAGTGGAGGGAATGGTGGGAAGTGCTGGCTGGGATGCAGGTCCCTCAGTGGCAGACCTGCAGACAGGCAGGGGGCCCAGAAAAGCACTGCAGAGGTTCAGAAAAGAAGTTCACCTACTTCTGTGTCGCTCAGGGCTGGCCTGGATTTTTAATTGAAGCAAATTAAAACTTCCCCAAAATACTAGTCCACTTTCCTGGCAGTGTGCACAGCCCCCTTCCCCGTCCGAGGTTTTGCACCTCTGCAAAGGAGAGCCCGCTCGGTCCTGAGGAAGGCCCCGCCCCACCGCTGCGGCCTTCATGAAGGCAGGGCCCATTTACAAGCACTCTCCCAGAAGCCCCTTCAGGGCATGGTCCAGAGGGGGCTGAATAATCTGCAGCCATTTGGGGTGATTTACAAAGCGGCGTGCGGCTGGGGCAGTTGAAAGAGGAGCTTCTTCCATTTCTTTGTGCTGGAGGTCTCCGACCGTTTTTATTCTCACAATTCAGTGATGTCCTCTGCATCCTTTGTCCTGTGCGTGCTCTTTTGTTGGTGACACAGAAGACAGAGGTGCTGGTTATGTGAGTGACCTTGAACCCTGCGCCTCTCTAGGAGAAGTGCCAGGATGTACTTTCTCAAGCCCCGCCACGCTCTGAGCAGACGGGAACAGCTTTGCCACTGACACTTGTGAACAGATGCCAGTCAGCAGGACTTGCTTACACACCCTGGACTGTCCCCTGAGACCGATTTGTCCTTTGGGGCTGGCCTTCCCCTCCAACAAGTGCTAATCGATTGCCTGCCTCTGGCCTTGGGCTTGCTGGCAGTGGCTGTGGAGGAAAAGGATTCACTCCCCAAACCGTGTGTAACAACATGATACTGTATTTTCTGTGGGGGAAAAAGGTGAGAGAGGATAAAATACATATTCACGCTTGCTTCTGTTCGTGTAAAGTCTAGAGGGAGGGACAGAAAGGATGGTGGGGGGTGAAAATGAGAACGAGGCAGAAGGAAATAGGGTGATCTGGACTTTTTACATTTTTATCAAAAATGTTTTAAAACTCACTGTATTATGGTTCAAAATTATATTTAAAAGTATTTGTCAGCTCCTAGGGGCTCAGTAGTACTTCATACCCACTTGAGTGGCATTGACACTGCCTAAGATTTCGGGGGCCGGGAGCAAGCAGCTCAGCCTGAAGGACCCATCTCTCCGTGTCTGTGGGAGAGGGTTCGTCTTTGCTGATGAGTCATTTCACGTGCAGTGAGGGCGAGGTCCTTCCTCCTCCTCTGCCCAGATGCTGCAGTAGCTTCTGAGAATGCCCTGCCCAGACTGTCCGTCGCGGCTGGAAATGGAGCCACGGTTCTGCACGTGCCGTGCTTTCTGGCTCTGGGTGCACGTGGCGTTTGCATCTCCCACCTAAGGTCTAGTGGGGCGTGACAGCCATGGAGAACCACGGTGAGTTTAGGTGCAGGAGATTCAGAATTATGCCTTAGTTTTGCAGCTCACTATTTAACCACGAGTAGGTACCTCGCCCCTCCTGGCCCGTGGCGCCTGCGTCTACTCTGAGGGCATGAGGCTGGCTGATCAGTAACGTGCCCAGTTCACAGAATGGTTGAGGGCAGTGATGCACATCGAAGTGCTGTGTGAACCTTAAACCATTAAATACATGCTGGTTTAAAAACCTGCCTGTCACCCTGCCTGGTGTGGATCAGCGGGTTGAGTGCCAGCCTGCGAACTAAAAGGTCACCAGTTTGATTCCCAGTCGGGACACATGCTTGGGTTGTGGGCCAGGTTCTCAGCTGGGGGTGTGCGAGAGCCAACTGATGGATGTTTCTCTCCCTCCCTTCCCCTCTCTCTAAAAATAAATAAAATCTTAAAAAAAATAACCCTGCCTGCTAG